GCCCCTCTCTTTTTAAAGTTAGGATGCCAATGGGAGATTCAGGGATCGGTTTCACTTTTGACATACAAATCCCTACTGCACAAAATTATAACGGTCTGATTCTATACACTGTTTCACACAGACAGAATGACCAAGCGAGACCAAAGGTAAGGGAGAAACGCTTAATACTTCATCTTAATTACCTTGAACATTGTAAGAAACTGAATGCCAAGCTTTTGATAATTTAAGATAAGCACTGCTCCTAAATGGTCACATCCAAAAAATTGCCTCAAATCAGTTAAGTAAATTTATTCTGTAAGTTTTTCAAGAACCATTTGGAAATAACAGTATTTTGTAGATGTAAAAACAAAAACAAAAAAAAACTTCCAAGTGTTTCCAAGCACACCTAGATTCTCTTAGTAATAAGAACTCAGACCAAATGTACAAAAAAATCATCTAGAGGTACCAAAAGCACTAGAACTTGAAACCATGTCACAAGACAGGACTGGCGCTCTTCAGCGGGAAAAAGGCACCACACCGTCTGGTGGTTAAGATTGGTCTGTGGAGTCAAGCCAGAATTCCCACTCTAGCTTGTTAGCTGTTTGACCTCGAGGACGGCGTCAATCTCTCTGGGACTGGTTTTCCTCACTGGAAACACAGGTGGGCTGCAGTATCTCAAAGGCTTACTATGAGTGGTCAGTGAGACAAAGCACCTCCTTAGCACAGCATGTAGCACGCAGAAAGCATTCGGTAAATGTTTGATGTTACAATGATAACTTTTAAAAATAATAATAAGTATTCCTTTCAACACAAACCCAAGTCTTCAATTCATGAACGTCAAAGTTCTAAGTCAGTAAATCATGAGGCTCATTTTGGTCAAGAATATTGCAGTAATTTTGTTCTAAAAGTAGCCCTAAGAGTAAGAGACTATCATCAGATACAGGGAGGAGGGGGAACAAAGAAGTTAGGTCTCCTTACCTTTTTACCTGGATGCTCACACACAGCCAAGTCAGTCAACCTTCAGGAAAGATGTGGAAACAAGCCATGTATGTCTGCTGCATTTTTCTACATCCCCTTCTTCAAACAACTTCCGCTACTTAGTCCTTCCTCCCAGGCAGCCCTAATGTGATCCTGCACCCCTATTACTGCACCATACTTGGTCCTGCCCTAGTCACTTTCCAAAGTACACATGAAAACGTTCTTACCTCTTCATCCCATACACAGACACTTTGTTTGAAAACAGCTCAGTTTCTCTAGTACAGGGTTTCTCAACTTTGGCATCACTTGGCCTGATAGCTGTGTGTTGCAGGGGTGTGCCACACACTGTGGGACACTCAGCAGCATGTCAGACCTCTACCCACTGGGTGCCAGCACCTCCCACCCTAAGCTGTCACCACCAGACATTTCTCCAGACACTGTCCAATATGTCCTAAGGGGCAAAATGGCCGCTGGCTTGGAAGCAGTGATCTAGAACCACTGCCCATTCAACGCAGACACGTGCTCTACCGGATGGCACACAGGACAGAATGCTGGGTGGGCAACGCCACATCAGACACGTCTCTGAACAAAAACTCAGGGACTCTTTCGAACACCTGGCACTAACCATGCTAACATTAGGAGCTGTTGTATCTTTTATGAGGAAAAAACAAAAAAATAAAAAACCATGTTCATCTTCAGCCAAAAATTACTGTAAGTTTAGGTTAAAAAGTAAAACAAAAAACCTTCCACACCCTCAGTGTGACTGAACACAATTAATACAATGCAGTGGTTAAAAATGTCAGCTCTGATACCAGATGACCTTGGTTTCAAACCCCAGCCCTGACACTTTCAAGCTTTGTGACTTTAGTCAAGTTTCTAAACTTCTCCGTCTCAGTTTTCTCATCTGTAAACTGTGCACAGTAATATCCACTACAAAGAGTTCTAAAACGTGACACGGGACGATGAAGTAAAACATTTGTGCCATGCCTGGCTGTTCATCGGAACTATTACTGTCACTGTTTTCAGAGCAACCTGACTGCCTACAAAAACTGTTGCCAACAGCAGAATCTGTGGAATGTGAGAGTTGAGAGCACGTGGTAGCCATATTTCCTGCCACAGAGGAAACCAGTTTGTTGCAAGAGAATAGAGCCAATATTCAGTGGCGAGTCACAGAAAGTGTGTCTGGAGTCATGAGTTTCAGCTGCCAAGTCCCTGTTTATCTGCTTTATTTTTCCCTCTGGTTTTAAGATAGCCTAGTTTCTTTCAACCAATTACACTCTCACCTGTCTAGCTGAGTGGGATTTCTGCCACCTGTGCCTATAAAATTTCTAATCAAATTTCTAAGTTACAGATGAATAAGTAAATCCCCATAATTTCAAAGATGTAAAAAAAAACAAAATTTAAAATGGGTTATATAAAACTTCATAGAAATGATGTATTTTAGAGGTATTATTTCAAAGTAAGTAATAAATACTATCATTTAAAAAAAGACACTAAGTCTTTTTTTTTCCTAAAGAATAATTCTCTTCTAAGTTGTTTTTTATTGTAATCCTTGGATTTAAGCTAAATACTATAAATATTTACCAAATAAGCTGAGAAAAAATATATATAAATTTACTGCACAGACACCAGACATCTCTTATACTGAGTGTCTGTAATGTTTTGGTGGATTTTTGTGACCACGAGCTCTTCTGTTACATTCTGGCTTCAGAGCTGGTGACCTGTCTAGAGCAACACGCTCCTCCTGGCCAGCAGTCTGTGGATGCATT